GAATTTGTAATTGCGAACAAATCGCAGATGTTTATTACAAAATTTCTTACTTAAGTCTCCTGAAGAGCTTCGTCAGGTTCGTAGGTAATTTTAAAGAACATTTTTCTCAAAATTTTTATGACAAGGTTTTACCCAAACTATATTTAAGGTAATGAATGATAAATTTGCAAAAAGTATACAATAAATGCAAGCTCCGGAGAAAACCTTCACTTTGCTAACCTCATGATCATCTTCCAAAATAGTAGTCATTATGTTTGAGACTTTACTTCTTTCTGAATTCAGTTTAAATTTGAAAGAATTATTTATAATAAGATGTTTTCACTACAAGATGAAGAATTAATGTCATTTTTTTCTTTGTCGTTTGAGCTATTGAGCATCTCATAGGATATTTTTTCTATTTTACACTAAATTTTAATTTTTTTTTTTGCTTATTCAGAAAACAGTCGCCTATCTTGTTTTTGTTGTGCATTTTATTTAGAAAAATCCCATTTCTTTGAGTTTACATGGCTTTAGTACGCGTACAATTAGTGCTACCTTTTGAAAATTCTGTTAATAAGCTCTTCTTCAAATGGTGTGATTCTTTTCAGCAATCAAATTGGATGGAGAAAGCATGATAAAAGCCTGCAGTCGGCGTTCGGATGAAACGCTCAACGCTTTCGAAGATATGAAACCGAAATTACTGTCACTTCGCGATATGTGGACCGAATGGGAAACAGAGGTCATGAGATTGGAGGAAATCGCGAAGGAGGGCATTGCAAAACGTACAAATACCTTAAGAGGTTGAGCACTTTTGGGAGCTTATGGGTTATTTCTTTAAATTTTCCCTTTTGCAGATGAATTGGAAGCCATCCGAATTGTCGAATCGAAATTCGATGAGCTTGTGCCTCTACTGAGTGCATCAGCTCGTCTGGCGAGTAATCAACGACTGGAGCAGCTTCGAATAAAAGTGCGACAATTAAGCCGAGTAAGTCAAAATTTACTAAAATCTACAGTCAGTCCCTCGACTCAGCCTGAGTCGTCACAATTATTCTCACCCCCGAACGACAGTTTACATCGCTGTCAAAACCACTCAACTTCTTTTTACGTCACAGTTGTTGGCACTGGATGACTGTGGCAAGTTAGCGTCTCGGCTCAGTTACTCAGAACTTTTTTTTCACCGAACAAAGCTTTGGGATCAAGTTTAACGCGCAGTACGCACACAGAACAATCCCCAGCATTCGTCCGCATTTAGTCACCCATAGCAGTGGCCTTGTTTCTGCTCGTAAAATACGACAAAAAATGACTAACGACTTCGTATTTCTGCCCTACAGTACCCTGTTTCACAACTGAAAAAAAAAACACCGCAAAGAATTTCAAGGAAATTTGATATGGCAAGTGGTACTTCATAATTGTTCTATTTTGAAGAATTATACGTGTAATCACTAAAGATAGGAAAGAAGAATGCGGAACGGAATTAGTATGGATGTTAAACGCATAGATTTTTTGCAACATGTAATTGTGAAGTCAGGTGACTTAGGCAG